CCATTTTGTTCTATAGGTGAATTAACAACTGGTTAAGCCATCTTTTACAATCTCATCAGTTTTATTTGGGATGTTTCTTCCAGAAAGTTTACTCAGAGTGCATGCTCATATACACTGAAGTGGAATAAACCATATTGCCAGTCTGCCTTTGTATTCTGAATCAGATTGGCAAATTCCTTTCTGCAATAATTTATGATTGCTTTTAAAAGTTAGCTTAATCCTGTGTAGATCTGCAGTGGTCTTTAAACAGTGAAGAAGTGCCTATGCGTTTCCTCAGAATGATTTATGTCATTACAATCCGCTTTGATTTTCACCACTGTTACTTGCTCCTCTGTGATTGACTTGCATGCCATGGCTGTTTTGATTTAACTGGAACTCTGCAGATTTTCCAGGAACAGCTTTAATTTCCTTACTCATTGTTTCATCCTACTGCCAGTGCTGCTTGACAGTAACTTTATATAAAAGCTGTCAGTCCATTCGCTTACCCAGCTTCACTGTTAATAATGAATCATAATTTATACCTAAATGGTATTTTTCACTCAAAAATGCACACAAATTAAACAGAAAAGCAGACACATAGGGAAGCAATCCAGTACCGTACCTCATTGCACAATAGTTCATGGAAGAAAGTATTCTGGCCAAGGGCAGCAGAAGATAGGGGAAAGTCTTGTGAAATATGGGAATTCAATCTAAAACATACTTAAAAATCTGCATAGAACTCACAGACACAGAGATACAGGACTGGCTTGCCTTTGGTGAATTTTGAATGCATTTTTCAAGGAGCCTGCACATCAAAACTGATATCTAGACCACAAAGAGACTCTTCCAGACATGGGAGATGACCCTTATAGATGTAAGTGCAGTCAGTAATCTTAGACACAACAGTAGAAAGTTGAAATACCATCTCCTGTTAAAAGAAAGTGGAAATACAAGATTTTCACCTGGTAAAAGTATTTTCCTCTGGGTAAATTTTCCTTTGTTTCTTAGAATTTGTAAGTGATGACAGATTTGGCTGATGGAGAGAGCACTTTTTGCAGCATGCTTACAACCTATTGACTCATTTAAGTACATCGGAGATGAAGCCAAGTGTCTATTCCCTTAAATGGCTTAGTTCCAAGTATAAGGTAAGGATCAGCCAGATAAAATTGTCTAAAGATAACAAAACATTGTCAGTGAAATAGACAAAGAATGTTTTTTCCCTTGCTGTATAACAGTGTTAAAGAGTGGATCTGAACAAACTAAACGTTCTATGCCATGGAAGGGTCTCAAGTGCAAGAGCAGCAGTGCTGCAACAAGGCTGTTAAAAGACGTACATATTGATCTGATTTAGTCTTGCAGTCCAGATGCAAAATGTTTGCTCAGAAACTCACAGGGTATGTTTTTATGCTAATCATTATGCTTATCATATAGTTCTATAGTTAGGCTATCTGCTTTTTTAGCAGAAAGGAGAGAGCAGAAAGATGAAGGCCTGCCGTACTACCAAAGAATGTAATTTTGACCTGAAAGTTCCTGTTCCCCTTGCTAACAGAGTGCTGACTGTGATAGCAGCTGGCATTTCCTGTAGGCTCCTTGGATGAAAACAGTCGTCCTCAGGGACTTAAGAAAGCTGAACTACCTGAATTCCTGTCTTTCCTGCCTACTGTCAGCACCTGCATCAAACTCCTTCCACATCATCCGCCTCTCTCCATCACTTTAAGCAGCATCCTCCTCTTCTCCAAACTGCAGTCTCCTGCTGCTGCCTGATTGCCTTCAGTCACCGATAGGGAGCTCCTCGGGGTTTCATGCCAGCATCCTCTGGCCCCTGAGGTTGTGCTCTGTCTCCTCCACACCCCTATTACTTTTGGCAGGAAAGGGGGCTCAGCAGCAGAAGCAGGCACTATACCAAAGTTTCCCAGGAGATCTACAGCTGCTCAAAAATCCCTCTGGCCAGACAACCTTTTTTCAATATTCTTCTAGCAAATGCCGGGGCAGCTCAGGGGCCATTCATGTTTTTGGTCACTTTGTGGCCAGCTTGGTAATACCACAATATGCTTTTGTTAAACTTGAGTTCCAGGACCCCAATGTTTAATTAGAAATGGTTCCACCTTGTGACTAGTTAGGAAGGTTATGAAAAAATTTACATGCCTATTTAGCATCTGAAAACTGCCACATTGTGCTAAGTCTCCATTTAGTGGAATTGGCACTAAAACAGAACTGCACAAGCTGAGAACCTAGTACTTCATTTGACCTTCTGATCATTAATCCAATTAATCACTCAGTGGTAGATTTAACTCAGCCTGGTAGGATGTTCTCCATTCTTCCCCCAACAAATAAATCTTTTATTCTTCTGCCCAGAAAAAGAACAATATTAAATAAATATTCTGTTTCCTGAGAGTAATTACACATAAAATAAGGAGGGAAAAAGCCAAATATAACAAACTGAAACAGGCAGAAAGCTTATTCATCTGTAGTATACAGAATTATTCATCGCTGAATTCTGATAAATTCTTTTAATGCCTTATATAGTATTGTCTTCTGTTAATAATTGCCTCACAGTAATGGAACTACTCACAGGAATAAGCATTATTTTCTTTATATAAAATTAAGGAATCAGGCCTCAATTTGGACCCAGCACACAATCTGGAGTGTAAGCAGAGAGGGGAACTGACCCATGCTCACACAATCATTTTCAGTTAAAAAAAAAGCCCTGCTCCCAAGACTGATGCTTCTTGAAATGATGGACAGTTGTCTGACCATGCCTTCCCTAAGATGACAGCAACAGTTATTGTAGTGGCACAGGCCTGGCACTTGAAGGTGCTTTAGGTATAGAGCTATGTTGCACTCACCGTGCAATGTAATGTAGGGTGCAGCTAGGCTTAAAGTAGATGGGGTTGTTTCAGTTATTTGGAAGAAATTTACAAAATTCTCAAAGCACATATCTAGTTACATCACAATAACAGCAAATTATGGTGATGACCCATTAGCAATATCTTCTTGGATTTACTTTGACACCAATATGGGGTTTACCCATTGCAACACAGAGCAAAAAGGAGCAAGTATTCTGTATGTTTTTGTTAGATTTTGCAGCCTGCACTGAAATTACCTGAGAACTAAACAGCTATTGCCTCTCCTCCATTCATCCATCCTTCTTTTACCAGGACTAGTATTTATGGCTGGTAATAGTTACAGCAAAACCAACAAAACATTCTCACATAGCAAATTCTGTTCTGAGTATGAAAGGCCAATAGGACTAACATCCCCCAACTTAAATGTAGTCTTCAAAACACAGCAGTTCTCCTAAATACAAGATTTTCACTTATATTCTGCTTTTGCTTTACTACAGTCTATCATATTCAGAAGATGTGAGCACTGGTAATTTATATCTTTACTGGAAGACACAAGGTTAGAAGGGTGAGGATATTTTAATGACTTTATTGCTATTAGAGCCCTCACTGCTCTCACAATGTCTGTGGAGACAGATTGTTAGATGCAGGTTTTACAAACAGTGGTGCACATTTCACAAGTAGTATAATTTATATTGACACTTACTATGGAAAAATATGGATTTTTCCGTGCTCCTATGCTTTTGGGCTGGAGAACAATAATACACATAATTTGTAAGGTACAGACTTCAGTGAAGAGCTAAGTGATGTATAAATGCCTGTGCTTTATTTTCTAGGGAAGAAGATTGAAACTATTCCCCCATTTCTTTTGAACACTTTGTTTCACTTAAGCTTTTAAGAATAGTTTCAGCCTTTCTGCAAAGGCAGCAGTAGCTTTATCTGGAATATAAAAATATAATAAGATGGTATGATTTTTTTTGTTGTTGTTTTAACTGTGGTTTATGTATATGTTAACATGAATGTCTCTAGAAGCTAAATAAAACTAGTTTTAAGAAGTTCAGTAATGCTCAAAGGGATTCAGAATACTTAAGCTTTTAAGAATAGTTTCAGCCTTTCTGCAAAGGCAGCAGTAGCTTTATCTGGAATATAAAAATATAATAAGATGGTATGATTTTTTTTGTTGTTGTTTTAACTGTGGTTTATGTATATGTTAACATGAATGTCTCTAGAAGCTAAATAAAACTAGTTTTAAGAAGTTCAGTAATGCTCAAAGGGATTCAGAATAAGTTATACTGTAATCCACAAATGCTAATGAAATCTCATTCATTGGAACAGGACATTAAAAAAAGTCTCTGTAATATGTATGATAGTATATATAATGATTGGTGTCCAGAGTACTTCCTGAAACCCAAGCAATTTAGATTATATGTATGATGAAGGCTTACTTTTAAATATATTCATAATATTTAGTTATAGAATTCTCAGAAATTAGGAAACATTTGGGCAGGATGATCTAGTCTGTACTTTTACTTCAAGATAGGATCAGTTATAATTAACTCATTATCCTACACAGATGTCTAGCTGGTTTCGAAAACTGCATTTTCTATTGCATTTCCTACAATATCTCAGGCCATCTAATCTGTCCTTCTTGGTAGACTTGTCTTCATGTCTAATCCAAGTTTCTATTGCTGAAATGTCAGTCCTATCTTAAGAGTCATAACACCTTACGAAGTTTCAAATCTACTTTGTGGTAGGAAGCATACCGTGAAAGGGCTAAGTGAGCAAGTTATGTTGTACAGCCAGCTAATAGATGAAGCTAAAAATCCTCCTTTAATAACCAGAAGCTTTCTCAAAGTATCAAATCAAAGTCTGAAACTCCTTGTAGACTGACAGTCAGGAATCAGTGAGATACCTATTTCAGATGCCACTAGAAGCCAGACTATCTCCAGCTGCTTTTGTCCAACATTTCCTTATTAAAAATTGATCCAAGAGAGAATTTACCTTGCAAATATGTAATTAAATCTTTGTCTTTCCTCAAAAAAGAAAACCCCCACCAAAACACCAAAACCCACAAACCAACCTCCAAAAAACCCAGATAACCTCAATAAGGTATCTGCCAGGCTGTTTTCCCTCCCCTGTGGAATTTTTGCTTTTCTAATGACATCTATTTAACATGGGTTATCTGGATATTTTTCTTAGCCTTTAATTTTCTATTAGATACAGAAGGGAATTCAGCTAGATACTGGTCTAATTAAGAGATCATTAAGTAGACTAACACCCAGCAAGCAACTGTCAGAAGAGAAATGCTGTAGCAAAACACCATAACACTGATTAAAACTAATAGTCATTGGACCACATTCAGCCAGATCATGGGTAGGTCTGTTTGCATAAGAGCTTAAAATTATTTCAGCAAATTCAGAAAAAATGTCATGTAAATTAAAGTCAAAGTGAATCTGCTTTTATTCTCCCATTAGTTACTATTTACACTGTAACCTTCCATGTCTACCAGTGACACATAAATAATCTTACAGTGAAAGTCTGTGTGCTGCTATGCCATTTCAGAGAAAGTTAATCAAGTGGTTTTCAGGAACACTTAACCACAACTCAGATAACTTGCAAGCTGCCCAGCCATTCTTTTCTTCCTTGTTCTCTCTTCTCCTAATGACATTCCTATGGAGTTAACAATTCACAAAGTCTACAAAGATCTTTATTATGACGGCGTCAAAAGGTTAAGATTTAAAAGTGTAGCAAGACTACATAAACTTGCTTAACACATTGGTTAGCAATCACCTTACTTACCTGTGTATGGCAGCTCCACAGACACTCGAAAGAGAGGCATAAACACCATCCCCAAAGACATAAAATTGCCATAGAGGACAGTTTGCTGGGCAAAGGACATCTTCCGTCTCCTTTCTAAGGTCAAGTCCTCTTGTAAAGCACGTGATAGCAGTGGAAGCTAAAGAAAAAAGAAGAACCTGTGACCAGAACATCTTAATGGTTTGTTGTTTTTCTTTTCATCTCTCTACAGCTTCCAAGCTTAAAGCAATGATCAAATTTGACATTAGGTACAGTGTCTCATCTTATGCTCCAGTATGTCTGTAAAGACATATTTGGAGCTTACAAATGTACAGTTATGACAAGGAAGAACACACTTTTAAATTATTTATGGGAAAGCTGTGGCAGAAAAAGGTGGAAAGAGTAAACATAAAATGATATGAGCAAACAACACTAAAAAAACATTAAAATAATATCCAAGGAATATTACAGGACAAAAAGCAATTAATATGTGTAAGTTTACTGCAGAGACAAAAGGGCAAGAGGAAGACCTTTGAGGGCTGGTGGAACACAGGAGTGGGTGGCACTCTCTAAGGGAAAAATTAAATGACTGACATCCCCACAGTAATCTCCAGTCATAAAACATCTATCAATCACTTGGGAAACTCTGAAGCTTCTCTCCAGTAGCATTCATGAAACAGGCTGACAACAGCATTTCCCTTAATTTCCACAATAAATCCTACTGAGGCCAGTGTAAAAAGGAATACCCATCTCCTTGCTCCAGTAATATAGTAACGTCTAGAACATTTGTATCAATTCATTGCAATGAAGTTTACTTCATTAGTATTGTGCAAAGGACTGTCAGATTCACCCAGTGAGACAGAAGCTGTTTATTCATCTGAGGCACATACATTTTCACATAGAACTCTGTCTTTTCTTCTTAAAAGTTGCCCTTCTGATTATTATCATTAAGCTTCCACTGTGCTTGCAAGTGTGCAATGTAGGTATGCAGACATATTTACACCAGTAAACAATTTTGCTTGGTAAACTAATGTTTTTCCTTTTGAAAACTTAGAGGCTGTTATCTTGGATACTTACTGCCATCCTACTACACAGGACAGCACATTAAACTGGTCTTAAGGCACAGAAAATTAGGGCTTTGGCTCAGATCAGCATCAGTTCAACATCATAATTTCAACCCACAACTGGATATTTATTCTGAAATTCCTAAGAACACATCTCGCCCTTGCTGTGCACTAGAAGGTGCAAGAACCTTTTCTACATGCACTCGGAGTATTACTTTCACAATATTAAGATGAGAGCTGACAGACATTGGCCAGTATATCTGTGCATACACCACAGCATTATATCCCAAGGAGAGTGTGTTTTGAGGATCAGTGATGTGTGTCACCTGCTTCCCTTTTTTTTCTCTTTCCACTCTCACTCTAGTTTGTTTACTGACCCCAACATAAGATGCTTGTATTTGACAGTATTTGCTAACCTTACTGACTTTGGAACTGAAAAGCAGAACAGTTACAGCTGGAGGTGCACAGGGAAGCGTCTGTTCATTCTGGCTGCATAAATCAATCACATACATTCATAGACTATGCATGTCGTTTTAAGTATATGCAATCCTCATTAATGCTATACTGAAATTATGTTAAACTACCTAATCACATCTTCCTGGAAAATCTTTCCTGCTATTTGTCAGCACAAAGATTTGGCTTAAATATGCCAAATATGTCTATATAGTCCAGAGTAAGAAAAAAGAAAGCAGTAAATACTTCATTTTTCCCTTCTCAAGACAATACAGTGTCTTGCTAGGTAGAGAGCTTTTAAAGTGATTTACCCCAATTCTCAAGTATCCTAAGAAATAAAGTTTATTTTAGGACTTACAGTCTTACCTACTCATATCCTCTCCCTGTTTAGTCCTATACATTTGCCTTAAAAACAAAAGCCTGAAAGACCAAGAGCATCACCATGCTTATACCTAGAAGCTCCACATTTTCATTGTTAGAAGTGCTATATTACTGGTGTTATGCTAAAATAACTCAATTTGCTTTGCTGTTTGAGTCCCCTAATCCCTTCATGGATGTTCTACAAGTGTGTTACCTAATTACTGGGTATTAATCAAGTAATAGCCACCAAACGACAACTAGCAAGACCATCAGAATAAACCAGCAGTGGGAAGGCTGGATATCCTTGAAGGAATCACTGCAATGAGCATCACTGGTCATCTCTGCTCTCACAGTACTGCTTGTGCCACACACCCTGAAACATTTTTCCAGCCACTACAAGTGCAAGACACTGCAGGAAGTTTTAATACCTATTTCTAATGTACTGTACTTGACTGAATCCCTTGGCAGGCTGTGCATACAAAGACAGTAATCACACATGTCTAGTTAACGAACTCCTTATCCCTTGGATATCTGTATTTCCCTTACTACCAGGTACTTACTAATTACAGTCATATATCAGACTAACATTTTACATAACACAGAAGATGGGAGTAGGGGGGGTGGGGGGAGTGGAATCTTGCTGTGTTTTCCCCGGCTATGAAAACCCAGAAGTCTACTGTAGCCAAGCTACGGGATTGTTATGTACTGGCAGCCTAAAGACTGCCATGATCCTTGTCTACAACATGAGAGATGGGCTTCCGAGGAAGGGAGCAAGTTGCTGCTGTGTGAACTGAAGAGCTGACGTACTTTAAGTAGGGGCTTTAGCAGTTTGTACCTCAGTCAGATCACACAGAGGTAAAAACACACACTTTGAAGTACATGATGCTGTTAATTAAAAAGCAACAATTTCATTTGTTTCTCCATGTAGGTAGATACATTTTCCACAAGCAATAATTTTCTAACCAAATGCTTGGTGCAGAATCAAAATGAGAAATACTGGGTACCAAAATGAAGACTTATGATATCAACTCTGCAGTGGATATTGTTCTTCCCTGTTAATGTATCATCAACTATCCAACCCATAAAACTTCAGGTAGTCCACTGTGAACAGGAAAATGTATTAATCAGGTATTAATACTAGATAACATAGAATAGTTCTTTACCAGCTTACATACTAATCATCCTCCCAAATTTCATATATGATATTACTACCAGAATTGAAGGTGGTTGTTTTGTTAGTCTATCCAAGATATCAGAAACCGCCAAGAAGCTATATATAAAGTAACCGAGATAAAACCTATACATTTTAATCACTGTAATTTAAGAATGCAAGAGCAGTAGCAGTGGAGGCATTTCTCTGGATACTTATGTGATACAATAATCTAAATCCATGTATTTTTGGAAGAAGGAAAGATAAGCTTGTAATGTACAAGAAAAGATGCAGTCCTAGTCTCCAATCCATTCTGGACTCTGATGAGGACTAGAGAACTACATAATGTGATATAAAATTGGGCCTTCAGAACTGTAATAAAATGACCATCATCCCATTCTGTCAAGAAACACACTCTTTACGCCTCACAGATACACACTATGTCAGGGTACACCATAAAAACAAAGTACAAAGAAAAGAAACTCTATGTCTTCATGATTTAAGTCATATTTAAAGGAGGGATGAATGTCTTCAATCACTGTTAACCTAAAAAAAAAGAAAAAAGCAAAGTGTGACTTCTCTCCTAAAACATCCATTCAGTAACCATGCTTTCAATCATTCCATCATTTTCATCTTTTTGATACCTCATCCCGTGTACTCTGATTTGCTGTTTCTTATGCCAACCCATAAAGATTCTCACTTAACTTTTGACAGGCGTCACTAATATAAAAGACACTAGAAAAATAAAATCCACAGGCAAAATCTAAGCTTTTCTAGTCTTGAAGTTTCCAAGCATTGCTTTGGAAAAGAGTTTACATAAAGAAAACCAAATCCCTCTGTACATTATTACAAAAAAAAACATAATCAGGGATTGCTAAGAGTAAGGATAGCTTTGAGTCAAAGTGGGGAAGTACATCTCTATTATGCTTCTTATTCCTTTTAGTATCTAGTATTGCTTCTTGGCAAAACATGAAGATTTGAAGTACTTTCTAATCTTAGGGATTCAAACAAGCCTTTTTATATCTTATGCAAGGAATAGTCCCACAAACCTTACCCATACTAGAAAAAAAAGACATGCTAGTAGAAATATACCTGTTTATATTTAGGAAAACATGTTCACAAATTTAATACTAATTCATTTAATCTTAAGTACATATCCTGGACTGGACAAGGGGATTTTGAAAGCCTGGTCAGGGCTTTATTCATTTCAGTCTGAGACTTGCCCTTTTCTGATCAACTTAAGGTTGCTAACAATCACACGCTCATGTTCACCCACCCATACAGTCTCATGCATGGCAGCCAGAACTGCTGAACTCAGCAGTATTTGTATGTATTTCAGGGGGAGTATGAGGAAAGGTATAAGATCCTTAAAGATCTCCCTGAGTAGTTATGAGCCTAAATACAGTAGATTTTTGAGGAAATCAATGTTCTTTCATTACTTTGAACAACAGAATTTAAGCACTTTTATGAAAGTTCCTGCAAGCTTGTAGTTCAATAACCAAATGCTGCTGAATTTAGGCTCAGAATAACGGTAAGAGAAATATCTTACAGTAACTATTCACATTTTATATTACAAACACATCCTGGTACCAACATTCAATTTCACCAACATTCCCTTAATGTTATTTTCGCTGCTTCCAGATACCTTCAGATTACACAGGCTTCTTCTCCAGCCCTGGCATGAAGCATTACAGAAAATTTTTCACTTGTTTCCTGACAGACTGTCAGCATTCCATCTGTAATGCATCTGCAAAATAAAGAAAAGAATTGCAGTTGGAGTAGGTTTTCTTTTGCTGTACATTTTTTTAGCCGTAGCACTCCTATGACATATAGCCATTATCAGTTTAGCACAAAAGAGTTTTCCAAATGCTTGACTGAACACAAAATGAGCAGCAAATCCTGCTTTCTAATGACTGCGCAATCCTGAAGAACTGTTCAGAAAAGCTTGAGGTCACTCACCTTCTGCAGCACAGGCCTGCGTCAGGATGCGCATCCTTCTGGAGGCTCCTGCCCCCACTTGGTGAAAGGCTCCACTGGAAGGGGCGGACAAACTGCTTGCATTCTTCTTGCAAATTATTTCTTTAACTGTTTCCTATGGCTCCTGGTTCCCATAGATTTGACTCCGGCTCCCAGAGAGCCCACTCTCCAGCAGCAAGGATGCAGTCTGACAGGGCATGGAGCCAGCAGGCAGCCCCTGCCTTTTTAGGAATGTTAAGTACGTTCTTTTGCTTTCCAGGTCATAATAACGGCAGGGCAGGTTTTATAAAGTTCTTAATCGATTCCACGGTCAGAAATACGTCGTAGATCCTCAGATTGCCAAGCACTGCGCAAGTGCCTTTATAACCTACACAAACACACCCTCACGCACTCTTGCTCTCAGCACTCCCCTCAACGGGGACACTTGTCAACACCGCTCT